GCGTGTTTGTGTATGCGTGCATACGTGCTATGACACTGTTTAGCCGATGACACTTCACTCGTGTACCAAACAGCTATTGGATGTATTAAGTCCCATGCCACGTTTATGTTTACATCTGACTGTATATTTATATCTGACTATTTAATCGGAACACTTCGACGTTATTCATTACCTCTGTGTATCATTTTTGAACGATTACATATCACTCTGTCATTCCGTACAGCTTCGTTAAATGAGGCAGGGAGAGCGGGCTGGGGATGTTTGCCATGACCTACGACGACTGTAATTTAATGTCACACTTTACTACAATTATTTTGCTAAATACGCGAAATTTTATGTATGTTATGCAATTAACTCTACATTAGCAATTATAAGAAGAAAAAATGATATTTTTTGAGAAAACAAAAATTAATTATTCATTTAAATATTATAAGACATTCCTGAATTAACATTAACCATTCACCTGCCCGTTACGACATTAAGGAGTCTTATAATATTTATTTATTTATTTTATATCTATATATCATGAATTTTCTCTGAGATTAGTGCCATTAATCTTGAAGTGCAATGTAAGCCTTCTACAGGTAGTAATGATTGATAAAATATGAATGAAATTTCTAAATAATATGAGATCAAAAAATGCTCAAGTATAACGTCGATGGAACAAAACAAGATAGAAGATCAATTGCAATAATCGAATGTTTGCACAAATAAAACATCTATATAGTCCACATATAATATGCAATAACAAGCGGATCCGGGAATCGGTAATTAGTCGCGCACGATTAAAAGATTCGCCCGACGAAGTTACGTTAATGAGGCCTTCGGAGGATTTCCGGCACCCGGCTCAAGGATTAATTATTTAATTAGCTCGCTCGAGGTCACAAGTTTCCTTTTATACCCCCAGCGATAGCAACGATTCCGGATTATCGACTTACAAATATTACGCTCTTATATGCGATTGACAAAACTTATTATACTTCTTCTTCCATTTATTACATCTTTTTTCTCAAATAAAATTTCTTGATGAAAAACAAATAGGACAAACAATAGCAAATATAAAATTGATTTTATACTAGAAATATAATTATATCGTGAAAATTTCATATATAGAATCTTTAAGCCATCGAAGTCAGATTCAGACCTTTGATTTTGTCTCTTCATCGACAAACAATATTACAGATACTCTCATAGCAAAAAAAGTCACACCATGATAAGTCATGGATAAATTGTGATATAACTGTGAGATTAAAAAAAGTTACAGTAACATCACATCTTATCTTGATCTGTATACGTCATAGCAATGTCACAGTGAGGCGCAACTTTTATCACAGCTGCTAACGATTCATAGCAATATCACATCTGTGACAAAGGGGACATTCGCACGTCACCATGACTTTGCTATGACATTATATTTGTGACAAAGAGGACCTTCACATATCATTCTGACTTTGTTGTGATATTATTGTGATTTTTAGCAAAGAATGGAATGGAAATGATGACTATTAGAAAAGCGTGAAAGACGGTTTGGAAAGGTAACGTTAAGTCACAGTCGTCGAAAGGTTTGACAGCGCAAAGATGTCGAGCAACGAGACTATGCGATCCACCGAGATATAAATCGTCGTCGCGATAGGCATGGCCCCCAAAATATATATACGTCGATCGCTCTCGCAGCGCTCGATCACGATCCACGACGGATTCACCGAGGTCCTCGAGGACTCGAGTACGCGTGACTATGTACGGAAAGCAGGGGTGGTCCAACTTGGCAGTTTTCTTTTTTTTTTTTATTTCTTTACCGCAATTTGCTCGCTTTCGTCACGTTCGCCTCTCTCTGTGTGTACGTGCTCGCTCGTTGGGTACGCTGTATACTTGTGCGGCTTGTACGATTCGGACAAATGAGTGGCTGATCAATCGATCGATCCTCTTTCGCCGATCGACTAAGTATAAGCGACGCATCGACTATTCTCTTGTGCGCTTGTTATTTCTCATGTGTACACACACACACACACACACACACACACACACACACACACACACACACACACACACACACA